CGGCAGCTCCCAGCTGTGGGGAGAGCATGTTTCTGGTGGGGAGGGAGGGAGGAGGGCTGTGCTTGGTGCTCCCCTGGGGTCAGCCTGTCCCTGGGGGTTTCCTGGCCAGTAAACGCTCTCCATGTTCCCTGTGGTTTGTTAGGGACCGTGTGCGTGCAGTACCTTAGCCCTGTCCCCAGCGTGGGCCAGAGCGAAGCACTGAGCTCTGTGGTCGGGTTAATGGATTTTGCTTGTTAATCGCTTCTGTCCCCAGCACCATGTGTTTCCTTCTGCCAAAACCTGCCGAGGAGCCGGTGGGGAGCAGCTTGTTGGTGGATGCTAAGCCTCCTGTGCTTCCCCTGGGCTGTCCAGCAACCTGGCTGCCTAATCCCCACAGAGTAGCTCAGTCCTGCTTAACCACATGCCTTGATCCTGCAGGATGAAGGAGCGTTGATCTCGGAAATCCCAGATATTGCAAATCGGGATGGACATGCCACTGATGAGGAGAAGCTGGCCTCCACCACCTCTGCGCAGAAACCAGCTGGGCTGGAGAAGAAGGGCGAGCCAGAAGATGACCTGGAGTACTTCGAGTGCTCAAACGTTCCTGTGCCGGCGGCGAAGCACGGCACGGAGGCAGGTGAGGAGCGTCCCCGCTGCCTCTGGCTCTGGGGACGTGCTGTGCGTGCACCCAGGCAATCTCTGCAGCCTCTGGCGATGAATTGGTGCTCTTGAGGCAATGCAGCTTCATCAGTTTATTTGTGCTGACAGGGCTAAAGGCTGCCACAAGCTGTAATGAAACCTCCAGTTGCTTATCTGCCCCGTTTCCATTATGGACAAACCACGGTACAGGATGTCTTTAGACTTTCTCAGCGCAGAGCACTCTCCCCATGGCCCCCGTGGTGCTGTGGTAGGACGTGGCTCAGGCTGACAAGGCTCGGTGCCCGCTGCCCCGCAGCCATGCTGCAGGTGCCCTCCTGAAACCAGTGCTCACCAGCGAGCCCAGCCAAGGGCTGAGCCGAGCCATCGCACGCCGTTCAGTGGGGGCGCTCCTGGTGCCCACCCTGCCTCCTGGGTGACGGGGTGTCCTGCTCAAAGCCTGTGCCAGGAGCGGAGCTGCCGGGACTCGGTGTCCCTGCACAAGCGCTGTGGTTGATGGAGATCGCTGTGTCTCTGCAGAAGACCTCTGCTAATGCTCCTGGTGGTGGTTTGCTGTCAGCCTCCTATGTAATTAGCCTCTCTGACCAATCCATTAAAAAATAATTAAAAGCCAGGCAACATGAGATTTAATCAATAGCAAAGTTACAGGTGCAAGCAGGGGAAGTCACCGCGCGGGTTTGCAGCTCCGCTCTGCACGGGTACCCGTTAATCATTTCTCCTGAGTGCTGCGCAGAGCTGCAGGCCCTCGGGAGAGGCAGGCAGTCCTTTGTCTCTTGAGGGAGGAAAAATCTGATAGTCAGCGGAGAGGCTGCGAGGTTTTAGTTATTGCTGCTCGTCTCAGAGGGCCAGGCAGGGCTGCCCAGGCTCGGTGCTGGCTGCAGGGACAGTGCTGTGAGCTGTGGCAAGCAGCCACCGACCAGGGCACAGGGATAAATGGGGGAAATAGTAGGAAATCTGCAGTCACCAGGGTCACGTTGTCTCCTTCCTTTCCTGGCTGGACTCTCACAATACACTTTTCTCTGCTCAGTTAACACATGAACAGCCACTCACGCCTGCAGCCCTTTGAGGGAGGCTGTGTGAGGCGGCAGGGTGTCCCGCACGCTGCGGGGGGAGATGGCTTTTATCTTCCCTCCGCTGCTGTTAAGAATAGCAGGGGCCGTGTGGCAGGGGCTGTTGGGGGGGG